ATAAGCAGATACATACATATTTGTCTTTCTGGGTCTGAGATACCTCACTCAGGATTTTTTTTCCCCTAGTTCTATCCATTTACCCACAAGTTTCATTATTTCATTTTTTTAGCATCTGAGTAATATTCCATTGTATAAATGTATCACATTTTTAAAAAATTCTTTCATTGAGGGTCATTTAGATTGTTCCAACTTCTGGTTATCATGAATAGAGCAGCAATATACATAGCTGAGCAATTGTCTCTGTGTTAGGATGAAGTATCCTTCTGGTAGTTTCCCAAGACTGGTATAGCTGGGTCTTGAACTAGATATATTCTCATCTTCCTGGGGAACCACCAAAATAATTTCCATAGTGGCTGTACAAATTTTCACTCTCATCAGCAATGGGTAAGTGTTACTTTTATTCCACATTCTTGGCAGTGTGAGGGGTCACTTGTTTTATTGATATTAAACTATTCACCAGCTATTCTGGTGAGTGTAAGATGAAATCTCAAAATAGTTTTGATTTGCATTTCCTTGGTGGCTAAGGATTTTGAATATTTCTTGAAGTGTTCCTCAGTCATTTGAGTTTCCTCTCTGAGAAGTCTGTTTATTTATATCTGTACCCCATTTCTTGTTGAATTCTTAATATATTTTAGACATTAGCCCTTTCTTGCATGCGTACATGGTTTAAAAAAAACTTTTTTCATTCTGTAGCCTGTCGCTTTGTCTGAGTGGTCCTTTGCTATACAGAAGCCTTTCAGTTTCATGGGGTCCCATTCATTAATTGTTATTCCTAGTACCCATTCTATCAGTGTTCTGTTCAGAAGTCTTTTCCTGTGTCAATGAGTTCAAGGCTATTCACTCACTTTATCTCTATCAGTTTCAATGTATTCATCTTATGATGAATCTTTGATCCATATGGACTTGAGTTTAGTACAGGGTGATAAGTCTGGATTTATTGCATTCTTCTTCATGTAGCTATCTAGTTTGACCAGCACGAATTACTGAAGATAGTATCCTCTTTTTACAGTATTTATTTCAAATTATTTTTCAAAAATCAGATGTCCATAAATATGTGGATTTATGTCTGTGTCTTCAATTCAATTCCATTCATCACCATGTCTGTTTTTCTGCCCATACCATGTGTTTTTTTTTTTTTTTTATTACTAAGGCTCTATAATAAAACTTGAAATCAGGAATGGTGATACCTCTAGTACTCTTTTATGATTCAGGATTGTTTTAGCTATCCTGTTTTTATTTCAATATGAAGCTGAAAACTGTTCTTTAAAGATTGTGAATAATTGGAATTTTGATGGGGATTGTATTGAATCTGTATTTTGCTTTAGGTAGGATGGCCATTTTTACTATAATAATTCTACCTATTCATGAGCATGGGGGAATCTTTCCATCTTCTGATAGCTTCTTCAATTTCTTTTTTTAATGTCTTAAAGATTTTCTCATACAAGTCTTTTCCTCGCTTGTTTAGAGTTACTCCTAGAAATTTTATATTATTTGATGCTGTTGCATCAAATATTATTGATTCCTTTTTTTCTTTCTCACTCTGTTTGTCATTTGTGTATAGGAGGGATCCTGATTTTTGTGAGTTAATTTTGTATCCAGCAACCTTACTGAAAGTGTTTATCTGCTGTAGGGGTTTCGTACTAGATTTTTTTTTTTAGATCACTTATGTATACTATCATATCATCTGGACATAAGGATATGTTGACTTCTTCCTTTCCATTTTTATCCCTTTGATGTCTTCCCATTGTCTTATTGCTCTAGCTAAGACTTCAAGTACTACATTAGACAGGTATGGATAGAGTGGACAACCTTGTCTTGTCCCTGTTTTAGTGGAACTGCTTTGAGTTTCTCTCCATTTAAGTTGATGTTGGCTATGGGCTTGCTGTAAATTGTCTTTATTATGTTTAGGTATGTTCCTTGTATCCCTAGTATCTCTAAGACTTTTATCAAGGGGTGCTAGATTTCATCAAAGGCCTTTTTCTGTACCTAATGAAATGATCATGTTGTCTTGGTCTTTTAGTTTGTTTGTTTGGTGGATCACATTTATTGATTTAGATAATTTGATCTATCTCTCCACCTCTGGGATGAAGCCTAGTTGATCATGGTGAATGATATATTTGATGTGTTCATGGATTCAGTTTGTAAGTATTTATTTAGTTTCTGTAGACCATCTGCCCAGGCTCTTCTGGCTTTTAGAGCCTCCATTGAGAAGTCAGGTGTTATCCTAATAGGTCTACCTTTATATGTTACTGGTTATTTCCCCCTCGAAGCTTTTAATATTCTTTTGTTTTTCTATACATTTAGTGTTTATTATTTATATTTTTCCTTTTATTCAAAATGTATTCATTTCTCATACAGTATGTCCTGATTACAGTTTTCCCTCTGTTCCCACATCTCCTTCCATCCAGATCCATTCTCTCTTTGCCTCTCATTAGAAAAGAACAGGTTTCTAAGAGATAACAACAAAACATAACAAAATAAAATATAATTAGATAAACAAAAAATCATATTCAAGTGGGACAACAGAAGAAAAAGAGTTTAAGAGAAGGCACACAAATCAGAGACCTACTCATTCATACACTCAGGAGTCCCATAAAAATATCAGACTAGACTGGAAAGTGGTAGCACATGCCTTTAATTCCAGCACTCAGGTGGCAGAGGCATGCAGATCTCTGTGAGTTTGAGGCCAGACTGGTCTATAGAGTGAGTTCCAGGACAGCCAGGGTTGCACAAAAAACCTTGTCTAGAAAAAACAAAACAAGCCGGGCGGTGGTGGCGCACGCCTTTAATCCCAGCACTCGGGAGGCAGAGCCAGGTGGATCTCTGTGAGTTCGAGGCCAGCCTGG